ACATCCATGTATAAACTGCAGTATTCTTCTGTTCTGTTTTTGGTATTATAATTCTTCTGCATAATAACCACCATTAAAATGCACTGAAGTGTGACCATTATGTGTCAGATGACAAATTATTCCAGTTCCTGTGTGCTCTGCCTCACTGGAACCCAATCAGTTATGCCATATGACTAAGAGTAGACACTAAAGGTGATGATATACACTGCTGTTCAAAGGTTTGGGGTCAGGACGATTTTTTCAAAATAAAATTAATACTATTATTAGGCAAGGATGCATTAAATTGACAAAAAAGTGTCAGTACAGACATTTACAATGTTACAAAAGATTTCTATTTCAAATCATTTTCATCATTCATTATTTTCATCATTCTAAGCTCAGCTGCAGAAAGAGTATGGCGCAAATCACAAAATCCTACTGACCTTAATGTATATCGATCACTCCACTCTTCATTCTCTGCTAATGTCTCCACTGCTAAAAGGACATACAGTACTATCACAACAAAATTAACAATTTGCCTAACTCTCGCATGCTCTTTAAAACATTTTCCTCCCTCCTTTGTCCTCCTCCTCCCCCTCCTTCATCAACTCTAACAGCTGACGACTGCCTCATTCTTCATTAATAAAATTACAAATCTCAGTGCACAATTTGCCACACCACAAACTGTCAAACACATCTTACCAGCAAACATACACTTGTTTTCATCCTTCTCTCCACTCTCTGAGGCAGAAGTCTCTAAACTCATCCTTTCCAATCATCCTACTACTTGTCCACTTGATCCTATTCCATCTCATCTCCTTCAAGCCATAACTCATCCTTTCTAATCATCCTACTACTTGTCCGCTTGATCCTATTCCATCTCATCTCCTTCAAGCCATTTCTCCCGCCGTTGTACCTGCACTCACTCACATCGTTAACACGTCCCTACACACTGGTGTTTTTCCCTCAACATTTAAATAGGCTTTGTCTAATATAACGCCCAGATTTTTGACTGTGGAGGAAGTAACAGTACATCCGTCTAGTTGCAAATTGGAATCCAAGAGATTCTGTGTACTGTTTTTTGGTTCAATAAGTAATTGGTACTAGTGCTGGGCAACAATTAAAATTTTTAATCGCTATTAATCACATGATTTTCTTATTGTTATGTTATGAATTGTTATGCACAAAATTCAATAATGAATTCAGAAGTAGTGTATTGTGCACTTTTTTTTTTTAATTTTAAAAGTTACTATTTAAAAGTACTGCTATATGAAATTAATCACATGATTGTCTGCGATTGATCGCGATGAATCGCATTGGTATGCACAAAATTCAATAATGCATTCAAAAGTAGGGTATTGTGCACTTTTCATTTAAAAGTACTACTATATGAACAAAAGTGCAATAACATTTGGCTTGCAAACACTTAAAACAAATAAGGTGCTTTTTTTACAGCAGTATTCCTTTTACATAGCCTAGTAGCAGTTAAAATATTTATTGTAAATCTCAACTTATAACATTAATGTAATCAAATTAAATATAAAACCAAAGCTATGCCACTGCCAGGGCATTAACGTTTTTATTGAAAATATTTTATAGTTTGTTATAGAAAAACGTCTCAGGTTACTTATGTAACCATGGTTCCCTGAGTAGGGAACGAGACACTGCGTCCTCTAGGGGTCGCTA